GTTTTAGTCCTGGTTTTAGTCCTGTTTTAGTCCTGTTTTAGTCCTGGTTTAGTGCTGGTTTAGTCCTGGTTTAGATCTAGTTTAAACCTGGTTTAGTTTCCGGTAATGAGTGGAATTACCGGAAAAAAAAAAAAAAAAAAAGAGAGAGAGAAAAAACAGTAAAATCCCGCCGTGTAATCCATTTATTTCAACAAAGTAACTGTAATCCAATTACCACTCACTGAAACAGTAACTGTAACTGAATACAGTTACTCATCATTTGTACTCTGATTATGTAACTACAGTACATGTAATCTGCTACTCCCCAACACTGCCGGTGGGACATGAACACCATCCGGAACAGATGCTCGAGCCTCAGCTGCTCCTTTCGACGTGGAGGAGCAGCGGCTCTACTCCGAGCTCCTCCTGTGTGACCGTGAACAAGTTCCTTCTGTTTTATTCATGACCATAGCATTAGTTTAGTTCGTTGTGTCACTAATGCGTCGTCGTTGTTTCCTTTAAGTTTTGTTCTTTCTTCTCTTGATAGTTGTGGATAAATTGTTCATGTTAGAATGTTTATTCTTTGTGGAGTTTGTTGGTTGAAGATTTGGTGATGGGGCAGATTTATGAAGCTGCTGGAGAAAACGACACACATTTACACACACATTTACACACACATTTACACACACATTTTGCAACAGAAAACCATTAACCAGAAGTTCATCAAATCTACAGCGGGACACTTCCGGCTGTTGTGGTACGGTTTGCTTTTTATTTGTACAGGGACAGTGCACAACAACACATGAACCAAGACAGAAGTGTTACGAAAGATGCTGGTGCAGGTTAGAACATGAACGCACATTTACACCTGTGTCCCTGAGCAGTTTAGTGGAAATACTACAAGTACAGATTCAGTGTACGTAGATAAAACGACCAAAAACAAACTGAAAAAGGTCAATACATGATCAGTCAACAGCTGTAGTAGCGTCCGGTCAAGTGGTAATGGAGGGAAACAGGCAGATTTTTACATTCAAATGTCTCTTATTCAGAAACTAGAGGAACTATTGAAATAAGTAAAGTATCAGAATGTAGGAAAGAGTTACACTCCAACAGGGTCAAGTTAAACCTGTGATATTCTTTCAAGTTGGTGACAAAAAATTTAAAACTCATGTTGGTAACGGAGGGAATGAAATATGCAGCACTTTATGGGTAATAAATACAAACTGTGATAACTCTTGGTTCTCACTTACATATCCTTAACCCTCTCCGGGCGTTGCAGATTTGCAACAGCTAAATGCCAATTACCTACTTATTCCACATCCATATTTTATGAGCCTTTTTTACTCAGGAGCCTTTTTTCCCATCCATGCTGATCAACGTGGGCGATGCAGACTGTGCAAGAACGACTCCACACAAAAGACCTGCCACAAGTGCAAAGTACTTTTGCTGTTTACAAATTATAAAAATTGTTTCTTGGAGCACCACATGAAAAAGTGACATTGTTCTGCCACTGTAAAGCTGTTACATTCTGCTTTTTGTTTTCATTGTTATGAAAAGTAGTTTACATATAAAGTTAGGGTTCATATCATTTTCAGTGTTCAGAGTTAATTTACCAAACCGGACCAATGCAAATCTGCAACATCCCAGAACACACTGGATGTGAAGGTCTCTCTCAAAAAAAAGTCAGGATTGTATATTACTACCCTATATGATCATTTCCCCCAAATATCAGATTTTTCCTGATATTAAAAATTTATTTGACAAACTGGTTTGAATATTTGCTTCATATAGTTTTCTACCATATGGTACAAGATTAGGTTGAAAAACCTCTGACTTTTTGACTCATGAGATTTTAAGAAATTTTTTAAGAAAGGTCATGGTAACGGAGGGAAAAGTAACGGAGGGAACATTGTGCAAACAAGTAGAAGGTGCAGGATTTTACATAATTTGTCGCTTTTTTCTTCCAAATACTTTAATATTACTTCAAAATGAAAGAAAACTATTTCTATAAAATATGTCAGTCCTTCCAAGCAAATTTGTATCATTTTAAATACTTTTTTTTTTTAAATCATGTACCTTCATCAACAGTTCAAAGATGGAATAACACAAGATATGATGAAATACATCCATTTATTTACATGATTTTTGGGTCTTTGAAATTTGGGAAATAATTTTTGTTCCATGTTTCATACATGGTCTGTTTAAAACGTATGGAACTTTAGAACCAAAAATAGTACAGAAAAAAGGTCAACAGTTTCATAAACTAGAGTACATATGTATCTGTTCAATACATTTTTATATCAGATGCATTAACTTGAATTTTTGGCCTTGTTGTTTACTTCTGCTTGACCGGGCCCAGTAGTGAACTGTGACAACACTAGAACAACAACAAATAGTCTGTTCGGCTCCATGAACTTTCTTGAACATCATTTTAGGACAAATAAAAAATACATTCTCATATTTCTTACATGAAGCTTGTTTGTTCTTCAACTACAGCACAAAAACATGACACCAGACACTGAAGTGATCGATCTTTTATTGCAGAAAATACACTGAGAAACACGTCTTCTCGTTAACAATCAATTCTCCATGGAGACGAGAAAGTGCAGAACGCTCTACTAGAAAAAATTACATAATGCTGCTTTAATTGTGACTCGTGTGTTGGACAGTGCTGTGTGGTGGAAGAGGATTCACCAGTGCAGAGACTCGTTTTGTCACAGCAGAGGAAGGAAAAGACTTTAGGGAAAAGTTTGTGTTTAATACATTTGGAACACAAATGCTCTTCTGTAAAAATGACTGTAAGAAACAAGAAAACATTTTGGTTATAACTGAGGGCACCGGAGCGCAGAATGGGAGATACAGCACTGAATTTGAGAAACATTCAAATTCTTATGTCCTGCATGTTGGAATAAATAACCTGATGAGCTCCGACTCTGGATCATACAGATGTGAATCTTGGAATGAAGCAGTGGTGGAGGAAACAGTAGAATTTCATCTTAATGTCTCCAGAGGTAATCACCATCATTATTATCATTCCATCTATTTCTGCTGCTCTTCTGTCTTTGTGTTTTATGTATTACTCAAGTTTTATTTTGGAAAAACCTTTGGGCGCATTAACCTTTCATGTTTTAGAGCTGAAAAAACAAATAAACTCACTGCGTCTCCAGATGTGAGCACAGTTTACCAGCAGAAGTCACAAAGACTCACTCTCTGTTGTCACACTGAGACGAGTGAATCTTTTTAAATACTAAAAACAGTTTCTAACTCCAAACACCTCAGTGAAAGTGATGTGAGTCCTGACTTATTTAAGGTTAATTTTGGTTTTTGTTTCAATTGAAACAAGAACCAAAATTTCAATTTCAGTTCCTTTATTGTCACATAAAATCACACCACAAATGCAGAGTATATTAAAAAGAGCATAATAGTGTAGAGCGCCCGTCCTCTAACACCCACTAACACAAACATCATCATCCAGTACTTGTAATAATATCAGAGCAGACACAGAGTGGAGAACTGTAAACAGTAAAGAGTCAGATCAACAAATCAAATCAAAAGAACTGGGACATCAAGGACAGGAGGACATCTGGTCAGACTGTGTTTTAAATGTTCTACTGCAGCAATGCAAAGTCCAGTTCACAGTTATTGTACTGGCAGGATGTGGTTCACTGACCGTAGGACGAAGGAGAGAACGAGCGGGGCTCCGTCCAGCAGCCTCACTACCTGAGGGTCCAGACTGTGGACCGGTCTAGATGTTCTGAGGGTCCAGAGTGTGGACCAGTCTAGATGTTCTGAGGGTCCAGACTGTGGACCAGTCTAGATGTTCTGAGGGTCCAGAGTGTGGACCAGTCTAGATGTTCTGAGGGTCCAGAGTGTGGACCGGTCTAGATGTTCTGAGGGTCCAGAGTGTGGACCAATCTAGATGTTCTGAGTGTCCAGAGTGTGGACCAGTCTAGATGTTCTGAGGGTCCAGGCTGTGGGCCAGTCTAGATGTTCTGAGGGTCCAGACTGTGGACCAGTCTAGATGTTCTGAAGGTCCAGGCTGTGGGCCAGTCTAGATGTTCTGAGGGTCCAGACTGTGGACCAGTCTAGATGTTCTGAGGTCCAGAGTGTGGACCAGTCTAGATGTTCTGAGGGTCCAGACTGTGGACCAGTCTAGATGTTCTGAGGGTCCAGGCTGTGGGCCAGTCTAGATGTTCTGAGGGTCCAGCTGTGGGCCAGTCTAGATGTTCTGAGGTCCAGACTGTGGGACCAGTCTAGATGTTCTGAGGGTCCAGACTGTGGGCCAGTCTAGATGTTCTGAGGGTCCAGACTGTGGACCAGTCTAGATGTTCTGAGGTCCAGACTGTGGACCAGTCTAGATGTTCTGAGGGTCCAGACTGTGGGCCAGTCTAGATGTTCTGAGGGTCCAGACTGTGGACCAGTCTAGATGTTCTGAGGGTCCAGACTGTGGGCCAGTCTAGATGTTCTGAGGGTCCAGACTGTGGGCCAGTCTAGATGTTCTGGCTTTTATGGACCTGTACCTTTTTCCTGAGGTGAACAGATGGTGGTCATGTAGGACCAACACCTCTGTCCTCTGTCTTTTATTGTTGCTCAATCTCAAGACCTTTTTGAGTTTTCTAATATGAAGCATATTTTTCCAGCTGCTCCATCCTCAGAGCCACGTGCTTCTGAAAGACCTTCTGTGACCTTCTCACTAGAATATGATGAATATGATGTAACACCTGTCACCTCCACACTGACTCCACCCGAGAACCTCACCTCAGGTTTGTGTAGATCTGTACATGTTTAAAAACTGCACTCACACTTCACTAATAACCGTATAAAAAACTCTTGGTCAGGTCCCGGTCGTCTGCTGTGGCTCCTGTTGATCCCTGTCGCCGTGGTGATGACCTCAGTGCCGCTGATACTGATCTGCAGGAAGAAGAAAACACAAAACGGTGAGTCCAGTGAAGGGGCTGGTGGCAGAGTGGTTAGCCCTGTTTCTTTGGCCACGTTCAGACTGCAGCCTGAAGTGACCAAATCAGATTTTTTGAATGCGCTTTGGCCGTTCAGACTGAAGTCGCATGTCAAAAGATCAGATATGTATCAGTTTCAGGAGCACATATCCAAGTGTCCTGGGTCACATTTGAAAAAATCGGATCTGTGTGGTTCAGACTGTCATTAAAAGATCAGATACAGGAACATAGGGGCCAAAAAATCTGATTTGGGTCACTTCAGGCTGCAGTCTGAACACAGCCTTAGAAAGTCTCTGTGAATATCTCCCCTGCCTCCCCAAACTTTTCTTACTGATTCTACATGATTCACGTAGGTTCACCTGTTTTGACTTCAAAACGGCAAATTTCGCTGGAAGGTGAGAGATTTTTTATGTCTGGTCTTTCCGTGAGATGTTGGTCTGTGTTTCTGTGGTGGAATCTCTAAAGTGAAACAAAATAAGACGTGTCTCCATTTTGTGTTCAACAGATCAGGAACCGAGACTCTCCAGAAGAGAGGTGAGCTCTACACACATTTGTACTACGGCCCAGGGGCCATATGCGGCCCTTTAATCTTTTTAATCTGACCCGCCAAACTTGAATAGTAATAGTAATAGGAGTGTCAAATTATCGCGTTAATTGTGATTAATTAATTACAGTCATATTTAGCGCGTTATGTTTTTTAATCGCATTAATCTTATTTTTAATCTCTAACTTTACTGTTTCTGTGTGCGAGTTGCCTCCTTATATAATCTGTTTTTATGTGTTGTTGGGACACATCGCTCCCACAAAGAATTGTAATTTTCATTCCCGTTCTCGCCGCATCTGCGATAAACCTACGATCTTTGAAAACATCGCGACACAGACACAGAACAGACTCACCATCAACAGAACATCCTTCTGTCACAGAGAGAACACTTATATTCCACTGAGTCGTGTCCTTTAGTCCAAAAGAAACTGAACCGCATTAGCGCACAAGAGCGTTTTTTTTTTTTTTTTCTCCGCTTAGTTTATGCAAATGAATCATGTGGTTTTAAGTTTCGTTTCTGTGAGACTTGTGCAAAACTGCATAAAACTATAAATTATAATGTCAAACGGGCTGATGTGGCTTTAGAGTGGTTACTATTTATATGTTGTAAAGTTGAATTTATTTATGCAGATTAGTAATAGTAATAATAATAATGATGATACTGTGGAATGTAAGTGACTGCATCTATTAAAGTTTGTTAAACAATAAATGACTTTATAAAGTCACTTTTTTTTGTTCTATATCAGTCTTTTGATCTGCCACAATAATGTAATAATGAATTTAAATGAAAATACCTCAAGTTGAAGCTTTTCTCTGCAATTTTTAGGTGAGATTAAAAAAGAGATTAATTAGATTATTTAATTACAGATCATAATGAATTCATCTCTCAATTTTTTTAAGCACTTGACAGCAGTAAATAATAGTAATAACTTTCAATGTTTTAAAAGTAATTTCAATAAATAGTAAATACTGTGGAACTTGAAAGACAGATATTTTGTTGTGATGCTTTGGAATGATTTTCAATTATGGGATATTTCAGTAACAGGGGAGGTGTTTTCGACATATCTCATGTTATTTTGTTCTTTTATGAGGTCGTTTACCAAAAAAACTCCATCCATCTGCTCCTGGTCCGGCCCTTTCGTCAAATTTTAGAACCATTTGTGGCCCACGAGTCAAAATGTTTGCCCACCTCTGGTCTAAACCCTGACTTTTATTTCTTTAGTTTCATTCTGACTTTTATTTCTTAAATTTCAGACTCAAGTGTACGAGAACTTGAAAGCAATGAGGGAATCTGCAGACTGCATTTACCAGAACCTCCGTGTGGACACCATGGACCCAAACCACATCTACAGTAACGTCTGACTGTGGACTCAGCGCACACTGCCCCCTGGTGGACGAGACACACAACAGCAGTGAGAGAAAAAGCTCCTCCTGTTTTTCTGTGTCATTTTGGGAACAGAACTGGCTCCATTCTGTACAATATCACATGAGCTAATAGAGCTGTGTATAGATCACTGCACATGTGGGTTTGTTTGTGCGTTTCATGAAATAATAATTGAAAATATCAAGTTTTCTCATCAATAATTTCACACTTCAACTCAAAAAACATCAGAATCATATAATCGCACTTTTACGTGACCTTCAAGACAACGTGTTATGTTTTATAATCTGTGTGTCATTCGTTCATTCATTTTTCAAAATAAAACCAAAAATAAGAAAACGAAAAAACTAATATTTTCTTCTATTTTCTGAACGAGGACTAAACCAGGTCTAAACCAGGACTAAACCAGGACTAAACCAGGATTGAACTAGGTCTAAACCAGAACTGAACCAGGACTGAAACAGGACTGAAACAGGACTCAACCAGGACTAAACCAGGTCTAAACCAGGTCTAAACCAGGACTCAACCAGGACTCAACCAGGGCTAAACCAGGACTGAACCAGGACTGAAGCAGGACTGAAATAAATCTAAACCAGGACTGAACCAGGACTAAACCAGGACTAAACCAGGACTGAACCAGA